GTCCAAATTCTATAATTCCTGTCTCAACTGCTAGTGTTGCATACTGCTTTGCCTTCTTCGCATTTCCAAACAGATTGTAGTTGAGTGCAGCCAGCACATATGCCCCATGGGCTTTGGCTTGCAGTCTTTCTTCCTCGTAGAGGTTTATAAGGCGGTCGATCATCCTCGTACTAACTTTCTTGCTGTTAAAATCTCCCAGCTCTGCCTCGATCTCCTCAATTTTCTCTAGTCGTCTGTCCGATTTCTCGATTTCTTTCTGAGACATGCTACAATGCTTGCATGTACACACAAATCCCCATGACTTCTCGATGTGCAATTGGCGCGACGCCCATGTCTCAAATGGATTCATATACGAGATCGTCAACTCCTCTCCCGCTGCAATGTCGCGAACAGCATGCGTGTGATGTGTTAGATGATTGTCAATACGAAATGCTACGTTGGGCCTGCAGTCATGATTGAAACGAGACACATCCGGGAAATTTCCTAGGTGATGACCGTCGTCACCGCCAACATCGATCTGGAATGAGTTCGTGGCCATGATGTCGCTGACCTGATGTCCACCAAACTGACCGAGCTGACGCGCGAAGGCTCGTCGGCGAGGCGCCGGTAGCTTGTGTAGAGCTAAGTCCAAGATGCGATGTTGTGATTCCGAGTCCAGCTCCTTGACCAGACTATGGTGCATCAAGAATGTCGGCTGCCATGCCATAATACGCTCGCCGCGTTTGATGGTCTTATTGGCCACGAGCCCGATGCCCTTCCCAGGGACCTCTGTAGCATGAAAGGAGGGTGAGGGAGTTTCAACTATCTCCAGTGACGAGATAGATGGGAATTTTGCAATTTTCTGAGCATTTTCAGGTGTGGTTACCACTGTTATACCGCCGGCAAACTTGCGATGGGACCAAACACAGTATTTTCCTGTGCAGTGGCGGGGCCCTTCCCAAGCAGAGTTGTTACTTCTAGATGAAGGGCTTGACTGGGTGCTTGTCCCATTGAATTGACTTTTGGGCAAGCGATTCAGATGTGTTGTTGGCTGGCACCACAAGTCGTCTGCTGTCCGTTGAAGGGGGCTCCATGAGCAGTAGTCTGAGTTACTCAATTGAAGTTGTGTGTCGATACTGAGGCCAACTGAGAGTAAGCAAGAGAGCAAAATAATACGCATTTTTCCTACGTGGACTGAGAATATTAGTTATTTGCGCGTAGAATTTAAGTTATGCTTTAAAGATTTAAACTTTTAACTCTATCGTGGTCAAATTTTGAGGTGTTGTTGTGCTGGAGCTCTGACAGGGTGCTGGTGTTTCATCTGTGAGCCAAGCTGTTTCATGTTTCACTGTGACATGCAAGCGAACACCACTGGCCAGGATAACAATTTTAGGGCCAGTACCAAACCGCACCGCTCAGTCGACTTATCAAATTGTATGAAGAGGAATGTACCATCAAACACGATTGAAATCCTGTTAGTGACGGAGTTAAAGATTCATACGACGTCACAAACAGGGTTGAAGGATGAAGCTCGTTAATGAATACCGCTGGCGCCTCACGTCCGTATGGCGTACATATAACTAGAGAGGGTAGCAGACAGAATATACCGATTGTACTAATACTCTCTTGGTAATCAAAACTCGCTACTACTGTTTATCACTTATTCTAGGCAGTAGATGATTGAATGACGAGGTAGCAACAGTCTAGGCGGCTGTCTCAGTAGCCGGTAACTAACAATCGAGAAAGCCTGTAAATCGATAACCGCAAAACCCATAGCGTGTGACTAATTGGAGATCTTAATGTCAACGGTGATCAATTTTGATATCTAATGCTCTTGTCCTTGCTTTTCAACTCCCGGAGTATTGCGATATATAACGTGGACTCTTTGGGAATCGTGTCGGTTTTGATATTCATACTGAATTAGAGATATGTGTGAGGACTGGCTCTAAGGGAGTTGTGACGTAGTCCCGTGACTGGAGTATGCTGTAGTCCTCAGCAATTGCTTTTCCATATGGGAGATTGAAGACCACTGGCTTTAGCTTGACTTGATATGCCATGGTGGAAGGGAGTCGGCATCGGCTTTAGTCAGCTGAGTAGGGAAGACAACATGTTTCAGAAGGGAATCTTAACGAAGCCCTGCCAATGGCACTACCATTGGCAGCAATGCCACTCTAGAGATTAGGAAATACGTGTGAATGCCAAGTTGGCTCAGACCTCTTCCTTTGGGACTTGCAGCAGTCCTGACGACCTGGCTTCAGCCTCGGCCTGTCTCAGCCTTTGCTCTTCCACCTTCCTTGCCATCTCTTCTTTCCTCTCTCGGAGATATATGCAAAATCTCGAGCCTGCGCGTATCCTCTCCCCCTTAATCAGAAAGATAAAGGGAATTATACACATAAGACAGCTAAAGCCTCCAAGGAGACTACACGCACCGTTAACACCAAGCTTCTTGAACATGGGGACAGACGCAAACGGCAAAACAGTAGCCAGTAAGGACCGGCAACATGAAGCGGCCGCATTCGCAGAGGCGGCAAAGATCTCGTAGGCATCGGTGAGGTAGTTTAACTATGAGAGAGTCAACACAATATCGATGTGAAGATAGGCGAGATTGTGTTACCAATGCCATAAAGATAAGCATGAATCCTAGCCCGAAAGGTATCCCAGCCAACATGGGAACCCAAAATGGTACGTCTAGCCGAGACGTCCACCCAAGCCAAAACAGTGAGATAACAAACATTGGGCCGCCGACGCAAGCAAGTGGCAATCTCCTATACTCCTCTTGATGCGTCCAAGACGCATTGCGAATTGTAGCTCGGTGAAGGTAGCCGTCATACCACCAAAAGATTGGGAGGGAAACGAATGCACCGGCGCCAATCGTCAAGAATGTTAGACCACATACACCTGGAGAAAGCCCATAGAGGTCCTGAAAAATGAGCGGAAACGCCTGAAACGTCATGTAAAATATTGCATATACCAAAGCAAGGTACATGCAAGAAGCGGTCACAATCAACTCAAAGAAGATCATTCGCAAGGGTCGTGTCAAAACTCTTGTTGCTAGTTGCTTCAAGTCTGGTCTGTCAAGCTCGTGAGGGGCGACTACATTAGCTTTTGGATCATGCTTCCGGATGTGCCTAGCCCTTTGTAGTAGAAGAATGGGGCCGTATGTCTCTGGAAGGAATATCAGGAAGGCCATAGTTGCTCCGGCGTAAATGAGGCCAATCCAAAAAGTCCATCTCCAGCCAATGGTCGGAGAGCAGAAACCGGCGATGATCGGAGCAAAAAGGGGGCCGAAGAGGGTGGTCTGCAGGTGTGTAAGCACGGCACCGTATGAGGAAGCGGGGGTCGGGACATACGACCATGAAAACCGCCATCGCCCTACCCCGGCTACGCGGTTCCCCATACATATCAGCCATGATTCCAGTTACAATGGCAATAGGAGCACTGGCGAACACTCCAACAAAAAGCCTAAAGACTAGAAACGCAGGCCAATTAGGCGCGAGGGCACACGCCATAGTCCATATGCAGAATATGAAAAATGTTCCTACGGTGAGCCAGCGCCGCCCAAACTGTTCACTCATCGGAGCCCATCCAACAGGACCTAGAGGGGGATATATCAGATTTTGATCGTAGCCTCTGGATGTCATGATCTGCTCACCAAAGATATACCCTAGATAGTTGTCAGTCCACGAAATAAGTTTTTAGGCACATTCTCAAAAGGCTTACCAATCAAGAAGACTGATATGGGAAGGACTTTTTGTGTCTGTGACTCCACGCCCCATTCCTTCATGAAAAAAGGTGTTGCATTGCTAGGTAACGCGCTTCCCATGGTGCTGTTAATAATCGTCAACATCGTCAAGACTAGAATGAACATCTTCCTAGACTGTTTGCTGTCAGACGCTGGTAGCTCTAGCATGTTGGTGACTTCCTCACACTGGACCAGTTGTATGGGTTTTCTGGGTCCCCTCGTTCCCAAGCCACAATTGTCCTTTCGTCGATGCTTGAAGAAGCTGAGCCATGATCGCCTTCGGGAAGACGGTTGTCTGCTTCCTCCTCTCGATACCTGGATGCTGCATCTTGTTCATCGATTCCGCTCACGACCCGTGAAATACGACTGTCACCGCCTTCAACGGTTACTTAGCTGTGGAACAAGAGTTATTGACTTTACTCACGACTGCGATGTGGCCGAAGATCGGCTCCCAAACCATGGACTTCTTTGTCTTCATCCATCGAGATTGGCAGGAGGGAAATGGGGATTGCGGATTGGAGCAGAAGGGGCAGGAAACACCGACGTTGTGTCGTTCATATAAAGGGGCGAAGAGGAAGAAATATACCATGAAAACTGACGGTGTAGTCGTCACTATGAAACTTTGACGGAACTGCAGAATGAAAAAAGCGAAGGCAAGAAAAGAACAAAGACTGAGGAGCGGACTGACGAGTCCAGGGTGTGTCTTGGGCTACTAGCCACAGACGCAAAAAGTGGGCGAGTACACCGTCTCCGAACCATTGATGCCCGCGTGTAACCCGCCGGGGCGCTATTCCCCCCGCAAAGTCAAGCAGATTCTCCAAAGGCTTGATTGGTCATGGCAGGAATAAGATCACAGGCGAGGCTTTAGGTGCATCACCTAAGGCGGCTGCCGTCATAACCGATGGGGCGCCGTCGACCTACTGACCATGAGGGGATCTCCTTAGCCGGGGGCTGCTCCAACAGCCTGCCTTTCGGATGCTGACACCCTCCCGGAGCCGGAGGTGCCCCACTACAGCTCTTCAGTGGACGGTGGATTAGCAATGCGCGGTGACCCCACCCGCCGCGATATCGGGTGCCTTGATCGTCTTTAGGGCGCGATGGCAGATATGCCATGGAGTATTGCGCAACTGCGCTGTCTGATCAAAGTCTCTGGAAGATCGCGTATCAGAACGATGTAGTATTCGGCAGATTCGACGCGCTTAGAGTCGGCCAGCAACGGGTCATGAGACGTTTGGAAAAGAAGAATTGCAATGTTCGTAATCGTCAGGGTATTGTTCGTCTATGTTTCGAGGTTGATGCTCTTGCCAAATCTCGCATACAGCTCAACCTTCAGTTGTGTCATCTCGTCTTTTATTGTGTTCAGCTTGTCCTCCAGTTCTTCAATGTCTTCCTCCACCTTTGCTGACGATACGCCCAACATCTCCTGAGCTTGTGGTACTTTTACGTGGAAGAATGCATCGCCGACCTTGTATCTGTGTAGGAACTACGTTAGCAAGCAGCGTGTAGGCGTCTAGTATCTCAGGGGTACTGACGGCACCGTATCATCCTCGTCTGCGAGCTCGAGCTCTGTTGTAATATCTTCCAGCTCTTCTCTCTCCTTCTGAAGAGATCATTAGCACCCGGTTTCTCACGATAATCGGAAAAGATATCTTTCCATACGCTCTTGATCTTCAGTTCGTCTTCAATATTGAGTTCGCGCTGATGGAGGCGGCTGAATTTATTGATCTTGTCCTGGTCTTCCCGCCGAACCTCTACTTCGTCGCCGACCGCGGCCTCGTCCTCTCTTGATAGCTGATAGACGGAGTATAAGCAGGCTCTACGAAGTAATTGAATGTTGAATTAAACTTACCATACGTCTCTGCATCATGGTGGCCATGATTTATCTTGCTGGAGGGACGTGTGTGTGTTCGAGTGGTGGTTGATACCAGAGCCTTTAGTATCTTTGTCCCACCAAAGCCGCAAAACCCTCAGACAGTATATGGCAGACAGTGTGCGCTAGCCTCTCACGGAGCTACTACAAGGCAGGTCAGGTACCCCGATAAGCAAGCCCGGACAACTGTCTCACCCCACACTTACCATTACGCCAGCCGATTGGTTCCTCACCATGCTCTCCCCGGAGAACGCGCGGTAGAGAAAGTCAACACTGAAGGCCCGCTCGTACGTTCTCTTATCTATCATCAACACCACAACGGAAAGCTTAGTGCAAAGAGCTTTCAAGATGGCGCCAGGGCAGAAGCTGTATCCAAGAGCGACGGTCAAGAAGATTGTGAAGGCCCACTCCAATTGCAATGCCAGCAAAAACGTGGATGTCATGGTTCGATGACCCCTCAAGACGCGTCCCAGTCTACATGAGCTAACTATTTCACCGCTGACAGATCTTCCTCGACTATGTTCTTTTCATGCAAACGTATGATCTCGGTGTTTTGAGAGGTCGAAACCAGCTAACCTTATGTCCAGTCTCATGAAGGAGGCGGCTATCGAATCGAAGCAAGGCGGTGAGAGGGGCATCACTGCAAGGAGTGTCAAAAAGGTCACTGGGGTATGTACTCTCTGGACAGTCGACCGGGGCAAAAGACGCATGGCTAATAGGTATTTCCTTCTAGGATACACTTGCGAGATTCAAGGGTTGAGACCACGACACTCCCCAAACAGCAGAATTCAACATTACTACATATCCAGCCAGCAAAGCGGTCTCTTGCGAATAATCGGCGTCAAGCGCCGTAGGCCCATGCAGGATAGCTACGAACGAGAGCACATATCACAGAGCCTGGGCTCGCCAAGGACTGAAGTATGTCGCGAATGGATCCTCAGAAGAGACTATGATCAAGTATCATAGAGGTGCCAGCTTGTCGGTCCCATTAAAGGTCGTGATGCCTAGAAATAACCAGAAGGCTAGCTAGAAGTGCAAGCGTAGGAAACTCTTGTACAGAGATTACGTTGAGAAGACTACTTTGAGACTGCGAGCAATGTAGCAAAAGAGCACGCGATGGTCTTTGTATGAAATGCAAAAGACTCTGTGGTCAAGTTTGTAATGTACTCCTCCGCCAGGGTAAGGAATGGTAGTTCGGTAGGGTGTCACTACCTCCTCAACAAGGGTTTACTACCTCTGTAGAAGGTGATAGACCTAAAGTACCTAGGTAATAACGGAATATTCAAGAGCTCGATGGTATTACGACTCTCAACATTGAGTAACTTCACCCTCCAATAACTAATATTTAATACCCTAGCGGAGGAGTAGAACTCAGTTGGCCGATACCCACGTAGCATAGCTTTACGCCTTAATCCAGTTCTTGGAGCTTCTCCACGATTCTAAGAAATGGTCCAGGGACGGCATTTGGCCCGTGTTCGACAGGGGGCACATGCGCACTAGGCAAAAGTGTCAACTTCGACAGAGCCCAGAGACAGCACGCGAGCAAGCAGAGCCAGTGTAAACAACAGAGTTGCGATTAAAATCTTAAGCCTGTAGTTTTGTATCACCCGATATTGCTGTTTTCTCAAGACAAACGATTTACGGCACTTCGTCAAGGCGGGCGTGGATTTGAGACTGTCTTGCATCTTAGCGGCTGCGCCTGGTCCCTATTTTTTTTGTCACCACTTTTCTGCCCGGGCCCAATTCGAGCTCCTGCAAAAACACACAACTTCTACCTGCAAACACCTAGCAACACATCATCTACAACCCACATACCCTCACAAACTACTGCATATCCACGACCTCATCATGGCTGCTCCGACTGCCGTCCAGAACCCCTCCACCGAGTCCAAAGCCGCGCGAAAGAAGAAGTCTAAGGGCGAGCGGACTGAGTCGCCGGCGCCTGCTGCTACGCTGACTCCCGAGAAGGCTGCCTCCGTGGCCGCTGGCGAAGGTGCTCAGGACGAGTCTTCGGACAGCCCGTACATTCGCGAGCTGCAGAAGTGAGTCTACTTTCAGGGCTGCTCTCAAAATTTCATCACTTTGTGCTAATTCGTTGCCTAGGAACATCCGTAACATCAACAAAAAGATCGTAAGTGACGTTCTCCACCTGAGCAAACGAGCGCACTACTAATGACGCAAAACCCAGACCAATTCCTCCAAAATCGAGAATCTCGTTTCCACCAACAAGGACAAGTCTCTCGACGAGCTTGTCAAGTCCAAGATCATTAATGCCGATCAGAAAGCCGCCTACCTCAACATCCCCACCTTACAGCGCCAGATCACACAACTAGAGGAGCAGTTGACCCAGTTCAAGAAGCTTGACCAGGACTACCGATCACGACTAGCTTCAGAGAAGGCCGAGCTGGAGAAGACTCTAACCGAGAAGCTCCAGAAGGAGAAGGCGGACGCCGTTGCCGAGATCAAGGAGAAAGCTGAGGCAGATACCAAGAAGGGTCTACACGATGGCTTCCTGGTGCTGTCACAGTTCCTGCGCCTAGCTGCTGCTAAGCGTGCCGAGGAGCCCAACTCAGAGGCGGATGAGAATCTCGCTCTCGAGGGTGTCCTGCTACATGTCTACTCTGGTGACGAGAACGCAGTTGACACCATGCTGAAGCTCGTTGACGGCTCTGAGGACACTACCACAAGCGTGTCCGGCACCTCTCTCCAGACGACCTGTATGTCTAGACTTACTCATCCGGTCGAAAAGTCCCTCCTAGCTAATACTTATCAGATGCCAATGTCAAGTCCCTAGCAGTCGCCCACGCCGCCCCTCTCTTCCAGACCGAAGCTACTCCTCAACAGACCGAAACCCCTGTTGAGTCCACCGAGCTTCCTCAGACCGACCCTACGGTCGCACACGCTGGCCTGACTGAAATCGAGGCAGCTGTCGACACACCTTTTACTAACGGACACGCCGAGTCCCCGATCAATGGCGTGACAGCCAATGCTGATGTTGGCGACAGCGCAGCTAACCTGGCAGGCGAGACTCAGTGGGACACTGGTAATGACTTGTCGATGTCACAGGAGTGGGTGGACGTGAAGGTGCCTCGCGATCCTGCTGAGACAGAAACTGGTCTCAATGCCACCCCAGCGGCGGTCAGCAACACCCAGTCATGGGCCGATGACCAGCCGGATGTCCCCGCGGAGGCTCCAGTCCCAGCCGACCCCAACGACGGGTTCCATCAGGTGCAGGGCCGCCACCGTGGCCGTGGGGATCGTGAAGGAGGCTACCGAGGCCGTGGTGGCCATCGTGGACGCGGAGGATTCCGTGGTGATGGCCGAGGACGCGGACGTGGTGGTGGCCACCGAGGCGGAGTGCCCTACCGCGGTCGTCGTGAGGACTCCAACCAATAAGAGCTTACTCTCAAACCTGTATCACTAGGAAAATCAGTCTAGAGGAGACTTATCCTGAGGGATAGTCTCTAGTGGAGGCCGGACCCCTTAATATTAGTAAAGGATCCTGGTGGTAACTCTTGTCTTCGATGTTGTGATGTACATTCTATGAGATGGTAACCACCAAAGCAGAGATTGAACGCATCTCATTGCCGAACGTTGTTAATTTTCGGGCTCCTGTCGAACATAACTCTATATAGCTCTTTGGCGGTAACCGACCGTTCTCATAACAGCTGTTTGTCCTTATGGTCAGAAATCAGGAGGATTGTCAGACACCCTCGTCCAGAATCGCGATAAGCACCTGTGAGTTATCGCAGCTCCAGTAAAGTGCTTTCCGAATGGAATGGGTTGGGTACTTGGTGCCTTCAGAGAAAAGCTCGAAGGCTATAAAACGGTGTTTCTCGCCAAAAAGTATCATGTACTTCGCACAGCATGATACAGTTCAATACGGGTGGGTGGAGGCAAGAGAATGATAGACCAGAGCCCACGCTCACCTGGCTTGCTTATGTAGCTCAACTTGGGAGGCTGCCTTATTGCAGAGCTCTCCTCCATCACGAATCTTGACAGGATGCAGTAAATGGACTGTCCTCCAATGAATTGACAATTCCAACTGCAAGTGTCCTCCATTCGATATATCTGACGAATGGAGTCTACCTAGGTAGGACTGAAATCAAAGGAGGTCCGCTCTTGATGCTCCGACTCCGGGGCGACACACTACCTAAGCAGGTATTAATTAGGTAGATGCAGATCAAGACAAAGCACTTCGGTGGTCTTGCAGGTGGTGGATGGAGCACTCCTAGATTGATAAGATTAGATTCCTGAATCCCACTGGGCGGGCAGTGCCTGGGGCATCAAGAGCTGAGATAAGTCGAGACTAGCGGCTGATCTAGCTTTTTTAGTGGACGCAATGATGACACGGGAGGCGCACATTCTCGCAAGTGGCCCTGGGAATGGCAAAGGAAAAGAAAGAGGAAGGAAAATCAGGCCTGCAACATCAGAAGCAGAATGTCTGGAAAATGCCAGCAAGTGGCAGCGCTGAGGAGCATAGGCGAGTCCAATCATGGGTAGAAGCAGCCCGCCATCAAAGTTCAAGGTCGACGGGATGCAGGAAACCATTGCCAATCCTGCAGGTAACCGGATGTGAATAGGTACTTAGGTAGGTATTGTGCCAACGTATCCTACCTTGAGTCAGATTGCCGTTCTAAGTAGAGAGAAAATAATGAAAATAATGAAGCTCAGTGTGATTATAGGTGATATTATTTTACACAGGATTTACCTTATAATTATTGCCGTCCCTGCAACTTTCTCAAGGGAGGCAGGACAAGACATTCAAAGGTTTCTAGGGGTAAGATGTACTCGAGGGCGAGCCATCTATCAGGAAGTTGAGTGGAACACTGTAGGAGACCGCACAGATCTGCCCGTAGCTCACAGTGTGAACTCATTGACCTTCAATAGCCGCGAATAGACCCGGTACTCTGTTCCCTTGCCTGCACCGCCATCAGCCCAGATTCGAAGGGAATCGGCCCATTTTTGCGCAGCACTGCCAGATTTGCCTTGCCTTACCTTACCAGACCTTGCCTCTTTCTGTGCTGCATACTTGAGTGGGAAAGAGCAGAGTAGCGGTGCCAGACAGACAGGTATACCCCCCCCCCCCCCCCCCCCCTTCTCTTACCGTACCTACCTACTCGACCTCCATTATTACCTGGTGCTCTTTCCCATCCAATCTCACGCCGAGCATGCCCGCCCGCCTGAAGTGGTGCCAATTTGCCTGTCTGTCCCATTCCCATCTGCAAGCACTTAGCACTCACTACTGCACCTATCTAATCTCCGCACTACAGAACCTCGCCCCTTCCAACCACTAAACTGATCTCACCTTAAGCCGACCTACAATCTGCCATTCGCATCCTGCCATCCGGTCCTACTGTCCGACCTTTCTGTGCCGCCTACCGGGTTTCTTTCGTTTTCAGCTGCGCTAGACAGTCAGGCCCTTGTGTATCGTATCCTGCAGTCAAAGGCCTCGCAGCCTGGACTTTATCTCCTCGCGGGCCGATCGCATGTAGGTCTACAGCTCAGCCATGTCGACCGAAGCGACCGGCGCTGCGGCGCCTGGCCTGGAGTTGGGGACGGAGATCGAGATGGATGAGTCGACAATCGCCGTCGTGCACCCTGCCCAGCTTCTCGCCGAGAGCTCCAAGTCCATCGGCTTGCACTCGCCTCCCGACTCGCACAATGATAATGATCTCAAGCTGGACGGCAGCGATTCCGAATTGAGCGACCTCGACGACGCTATCACCGCCGATTTCAGAGAGGAGGAAGAGCGACAGCAGAAAGAGCAAGAGCAGCAGCAGCCGCCGCAGGAGGAGGAGGAGGCCGAAGAAGATGATATCGGCGAAGTCTTGCCCGACCATTGGTCTGGCACAGTGCCTGTCTTCAGACCAACCATGCACCAGTTCAAGGACTTCAAACGATTTGTATGAATGCACTCTTTTCGCATTGACCCTCCTGTGTTTGCACGGATACTGACATATATGGCAGATGACGAAGATAGACTCGTACGGCATGAGATCCGGAATCGTCAAGGTCATCCCGCCGCAGGAATGGAAGGACTCTCTGCCAGCCCTGGACGAATTGGTCAAGCAAGTCAAGGTCAAGGAGCCAATCAAGCAGGACATCATGGGGTCCAATGGCACATACCGCCAAGTCAATATCCTTCATCAGCGCTCCTACAATCTACCTCAGTGGAGGCAGCTTTGCGACCAGAGCGAGCATCAGCCTCCCGCCAGACGAGGCGAACGGCGCGCAAACGCCGACAAGCCTAAGCCTGCGCCCCGATCCCGGCCCGCTCCATCAACTACCTCGAATTCTCCAGCGACGAAAAAGGGACGAGCACGCAGAGGGCGAGCCACCCGAGGCAAGGCGAAGCAAGATACTGTCAAGGAAGACACAGCGGATGCGGAGGAGCGGCCTATGACGCCAGTATCCCCAAAACCTGAGGTCGAAAAGGACGGTAACGAGGACAAAGTTGTCGAATCTGTAGAACAAGATCCCGGTATCAAGGAGGAAGAGGATGAAGATTGCGACGAACCTCCCACGGTTCGAAGAATGGGCGGGTTCTCTCGACAAGCAAAGCCAAAAATGCAGTCCACCTCAGCTCGTCGCAAATATAGCAGACGCGAGGGGTCCGCAAAGATTGACGAGGCCGCTTTCAAGGACTGGGATTACCGTATGGATGTGTCCGATTACACCCCCGAGCGTTGCGAAGAGCTAGAGAGGATATACTGGAAGACTCTGACCTACGCGCCTCCCCTGTACGGTGCTGACCTTATGGGAACCCTCTTCGATGAGTCAACCGAGTCTTGGAACCTCAACAAGCTACCCAACCTTCTTGACGTGCTCGGCACCAAAGTACCTGGCGTCAACACTGCGTACCTTTATCTTGGCATGTGGAAGGCCACATTTGCTTGGCATCTTGAAGATGTTGATCTATATAGCATCAACTATCTTCATTTCGGTGCCCCGAAACAGTGGTATAGTATCTCACAAGGAGACGCTCGACGTTTCGAGGCTGCTATGAAGAGCATTTGGCCAACTGACGCAAAGGCTTGTGATCAATTCCTTCGCCACAAGGCCTTTTTAATATCACCTGCCCACCTACAACAGCACTATAACATCAAAGTCAACAAGTGTGTCTCCTATCCCGGAGAATTCGTTGTCACTTATCCGTATGGATATCACTCTGGATATAACCTGGGCTACAATTGTGCCGAAGCGGTGAACTTTGCATTGGACTCATGGTTGCCAATGGGCAAGATCGCCAAGAAGTGCGAGTGTGCGCAGGCACAGGACAGTGTGTGGGTCGATGTGTACGAGATTGAAAGGAAGCTTCGCGGCGAGTCAACAGAATACGAGGAGACAGAAGATGAGGACGAGGAGGAGGATGAAGAAGATGAAGACGGAACCGGCCTTCCTTCACCTCCTTCAAGCCATGCCGTACGCATTAAAGCACCCGGTAAGAAGCGCAAGAGAGTCACGATCGATAAAGACGGTAAGGTCAAGACCAAGAAGATCCGACTCAGACTCAAGGCGCAAGCGGAGCCGATCTGCTGTCTGTGTCCCAATGACATACCTGGCGCCGAGATCTTGCCAACAGATGACGGCCGCAAGGCTCATCGCATGTGTGCGCTGTATCTTCCGGAGACATATATCGAAACGGAGGACGGCAAAGAGGTCGTTACAAATGCTGCCAATATCAACAAAGCTCGCCTGGATCTCAAGTGCTTGTATTGTCGGTCGAAGAAGGGGGCATGCTTCCAGTGCTCGCAGAAGAAGTGTGCACGATCGTATCACGCAACTTGTGCAGCAGCAGCTGGAGTCTTTATTGAAGAGGCCGAGGTACCAGTTTTCGGTGAAGATGGTACTGAGTACAAGGAACAAGCCTTTGAGTTCAGCTGTCGGTTCCACAGAACGAAGCGAGACAAGAGGTTGGACGGTGACACTCTTGAAGAGAATAGCCGTATTCAGGAGGCTGCTGCAGTACTTAAGAAGGGCGAGATCTGTCAAATGCAGTACTATAAGGGAGACATCTTCGCCGGAGTGGTGGTCGAGAACCGTCATGACGAGCGCACTCTCCTTCTTGACATTATTCCTAACGGGTATGTTGCTCGAATCCGCAGGTGTATATCAAACTAACAATCAATAGGGACCGCGTCGAGGTAGACTGGAAGTGGTTGCTTCTCCCCGAGCCTGCAGATTTCCACCTTCCCAAGGCATCTGCAAACGCATTACCCATGCCCTTAACTAAGAAGGCGAAGGACAAACTCAATGCCAAGAGACAAGTTGATGATGTTCCTCGTGCAGATGACATCTTCGTTGATGGATTCACCTGGGCAGAGTTCCACACCTGCGGAGCGGAAGAATGCGAGAACAAGGCGCAAGTCAACGTTAAGATGTCCAACACAGATCAAGTGTGGCATTATCTGGGCAAAACCTCGACCGAATCCAAGGCTCAGTACACGGAAGATCCAAGCAAGCCCCAGCACAACCTCAAGAGTAACTTCCTCGACTCAATTCCGAAGCCACCACCAGCACCACGCACTCAGGCTCGGCCATCATATAGTGCAACCCATGCATCACAAGCTGGGCTCGCAGGGACGCAGAAAGCCGAAAAGCCATATGTCTACAAGCCGCGGAAACCGGTCCAGACCAATAGCTATGTCAGTCCCTATTACACACCACTGCAATTTGTGCCGAATCCTACCCCTCCCAATCAGCAGCTGCCCTTTGGCACAGATCCTCGTTATAACGGTCAAGGTGCATATGCGACAGCTCCCTTTGCTCCAGCGGCAGCGAATACAAGCGCTCAAGGGCAAAATACAACGCCTGGACAAAGTATCCATGCTGCACCTGTCTCAGCGTCATCAGGACAGTACAGTGCAAATATTGCGTTCAAGGCACCCCAGGTCACTCCACAACAACAATTCATCAATCAATCGTCAAGCGGCACCCAGCAACCTTTGCAGCATGCGTGGCAGAAATACAGCTTCTTCCACGTACATCACAATAGGTAGGTTTTGGTATGACCCATTAGCTCTGTCTAGATACTTACATGCTTCTCAGGGATTCTTCTCGCTACCGCACACCCTACTCGACTTGGGGTGGGTTTACAAACGGATATGAGGGTAGTCTCCGTAATTATCTCATGAGCAAGCCGGATGCTCTTTTCAAGGACCGCCGTCTTAGCTTTGGGCTGGGCGGTGGCCTTCAGGGTTTGACACGCCCGCCCTCACACACTTACTCGAACTCAACGGGCTCCTCAGCATCGTCGATATACAGTTCCTCGCACTCCAGGTCTAAGTCGGGCGCAGTGTCACCTTCATCGTCACACGGCTCCGCTCACAAGCCGTTGTCGATGTCTCCTCCTCCGTTTCCGAACAAGGTCCATCGCCGTATGCCCTCTGCACCGGCCGCCCCCCTCCACCCTGCCATTCGGCCCCAATTTGGAGCTGCCTGGCAACACAACTACCACCACAACATGAATCAAATAGCTCCTGGGAAGTCGGCTGTATCAACGGCTCCTCAACAGTCTAGTCCTCTTGGTCCGCCGGCGACGATGCATCCGGCAGCTTCTATAATAGCAGGTGCTACTAGCAACTCTACTGGCACTGTGGGTTCACGACCACAGTCTGTGAATGGCCACAGAACTTCCTTATCCACGCCGTCTCCTGCCCCGCTTTCAGCAGAGCAAGAAAACGGAGTACATCAATCTCCTGAGCAGCAGCTTCACCAGCAACTCCGGCGGATTTCCGACCCCAGACAATCTCCGTTTAGACGACCACACTCATCGAGCCGTGGATCTAGTCGTGGACATACGCCTAGGTCCAGTCTTTCACAAGTATCACTTTTCCCTCCACAGTCCCCGCCACGCATTCTGAAGCAAGAGCCAAGACCTCCACAGCCTGCCCCCGACTACTCTTTAGCCGCCAATGGTGTGAATGTGAGAGAGTTTCCTGAAGTTGCGGAGGTGCAACCCGACTCAATGGCTCTTGTAGAGAGGATGATGCTGAACCTTAGAAGGGCGAGTGAGAATGGAGCTGCGGGGACTTGAGGAGTCTATATGACTTGGGCGTATGACATTACGAAGGTAGCAAGGATTTGTTTTCATGAATATGGACATGTGGTCCGTGATGTCTCTGCGGCGTTTTGAGGGTTAGCGAGGCTTCTAGGTCTGCAAGATACACTTGATGGCATCACGTCCGCAACGATGGAACGCGGTTTTATTTCGCTTTGCAGGGTTGAAGCTCTTGAGAAGAGCCCGAGTTATCTTTTGCGAGCATTCTTGGTAGACCTGTCGGCGTCACTTGCTGCTGTGCATTCATGTGCCACAGGTCATAGATACATAGTTATTGAGCACACGGCCCTTCATATTGGTCGTCTCAACGGAATTTCGGCGTTTTTGATCGCGGAGGCTAAGGGAACCGCGAGGAACGATGTACAATAGTGATGAGAGTACAACAAGGAATCTGGACGTGTTGTTAGAAACAGCCAAATCGGCCGCGTCATCTGTGATTGGAAATCGATGCTCGGAATAACAGCCAACCCATCCCTTTTGACCGTGACGCTAGAAATACAATACATGCCCGTGCCCAGTACCCGGAGAGTTACGTAGTTGAAAGAAGACGCATCCCACATCGCGATTAATCGTTGTCAGATCTCAGCGCACCCGCGTCCATTCACTCCGGGACGCACATCTGCCCGCACAGCTTCCAATCGCCCCCGGCGCCCTGCCTCCACGTGCTCGTGACGAGAGCGTCGACGCTGTACGGCTTGGTCCTGCCCGCGTCGTCGACGCGCTGCACCGTGACCCGGTACATGATCTGCACAGCCATCATGTCTATCTCCACGATCTGGGGCTCCGGGTCCTTGTGCATGCGATAGGTGCTCCAGGGCTCCAGCTTGTCCATGGCCTCCATGAGGCTGGGCTCGCTCTTCGAGTGCAGCGGCGTGTTCTCGCCCGAGGGGTGCACCAGCGGGTTGATCATCGAGCAGTCTGCCTCGATGTACTCTTTGGCATCCTCGCCCGAGTCGCAGAGCGCACGCCAGAGGAGCACCTCGGACTCCTTGGCGGCGCGGAGGTTGCGCGAGCGGATGCTGTTGTTTGAGCCTACGGGCATGTCTGCGGTTGTAGATTTGCTGGGAAGATAAGGCAGATGGTCTGCTCGTGTGTTCTTTACCAAGAGTGGATGGATGATCAATTAAGAGGTTAAGAGGTCTAGATGTCTGGATCTAATTGTAAGTAGTCTTGTTAAGATTGCACGGCATGCTACGTTAGATCCATCAATAATGGAACGCTACTTAGGGGCGATCCGTCCATCGCCAGCATATTTAAGGCTGATGCGGCCTTACTAGAAACCGGGAACCTGACGACGATGATGCGTTTGTGAGAGCATGTGGATGTCAAGGAGATTGACGTCACAGGCATGAAGCAGGGTCAGGGTAGGGGCCCCGCCTGCCGTCGCAGCGCACTCTCTTGCAGATGTGGTGCAACGGTTGATCAACGCCACGTTTTCCCGCTGTGGGGTGCCACACACCAATTTAGTTGCCTTACTGTTATGGCCCGTGACAAGGCCTCAAGTCATCCTAAACAGCTCCCCTGGTTCATCCATATTTCCTCAGGTGTGATTTGGTTGTGCATAGTAATCTTTTGTTTGGGTGTGTTGTGTTTTCACAATGCCTTTGTGGTTGTGTTTTCACAATGCATTCCACAAAGGCATTGTTAACTCTGTAAGGGTGATTGAAGCGGGTATCAGCTGATAGCTCCCGCACAAGCTCTTGTCTCTCAGGCGTACAGGCAAATATTTACTTGTATATCATCAAAAAGAAGAAATAAACATTGAGTAAATTTGCAGAAGGCAAACCATGTTTCCACAAAAGCTGAGGTCCTTTCATGTTATCCGTTCTCGTAAAGGGCCTTGTTAGCCAGGTTGCCGCACGCCTTGAGCCCAGATACTTCAAGAGCAACTTTACTTATGGGCAAGAAAACAAAATACTCAATAACTTCCGAAACAAGCAAGGCAGTCCTTTCTCTCTTTCGTAATGTGTTTATCTTCTTTGTTTATCATGTATGAGAACAGTCTTGCACATGCCTCAAACAAGGCCTTCGTAATCTCACTACATCATCTCACCGGCCTTGTTCAGAGCATATTGGACAACGTTCTTGTCTTCCTTAAGACATTTTCAAAAATCTTTTGTTCAGTCATTCTTCCGAAAATTCAGAGCGTTTGTTCAACACAGTTATATATATTCCGCAACTTCCACCATCTCACTAGAGTGATACCGAACCACTCAAGCCATTAACAACTTTTCGCGTCCATCAACTCAACCCCGTTATCTTGCTATCGACTCAAAAAAGCAGTCATACAGACTCTTTTCGCCCAAGGTAAGACCCCCAAGATATCTTGAGACATCTCAAAGTACTTCATAACTAACATGGCTAGCTCAGGTCCCGGTCAAAACCCGCTCATCAATGAGCGAGCAGAGACTCGAGCTCTCGTGAAGGCTGCCCAGCGGGGAGACCTCGATGATTTGAAGGTAATTCTCACGGCACTGTCTACGAAGCACGAACTCAGCAAGGGCGAGGTACTCATCCTTTGCAGGGACGAAAACGACGACTCTGCCCTTCACAAAGCCGCTCATCTCGGCTTGGTCGAGATACTCGAGTATCTTCTCAGCGACGAAGTCTTTACGTTTGCACCCGGCACTAAGGCAGTCTTCATCGGACTTCGGAACAGAGAAAGCAGCACCGCGGTTCACGTTGCTGTTGAGAAGGGACAGTTGCAGTATCTTATTGCGCTTGCTCAGAACGGCGCAAGCCTCGAGCTCCCCAACCAGTTTGGCTGGACTCCTCTCCTCGTGGCCGCAAACGCATACATCTCAGCAACCGTTGAGGCTGCTCGCCAACGCGCCATTGCCCAGAACCCTAACAATCCGTTACCCCTGATCAATCCTGGTACGTATACGCCATGGATGCACATCTTCGATTGGCTCATCAGCATGCGAGTGAATCTCAATGCCGCGAATCTCATCCAAGACACGGCGCTGCACATGGCAGCACGAATGAAGAACCTCGTCATTGTTGACAAACTGCTGAGCGCAGGTGCGGCTCCAGATCTCCGCAACGGAGGTGGCTACACGCCGCTGCACCTTGCTGTGCTACGGCCCGGTTCTCTTGAGTGTGCCAGGGCGCTCCTGATGTGGCGGGCTAACCCGAACTCGCAGGAGAATCAGAACGGCTATGCCCCGATCCACTCTGCTGTTGTGGACGGCAACGTCAACATGATTGAGCTACTACTTTCTTATGGAGCTGACGAGTATCTCCGGAATCGCAATGGGCTCGCTCCTTGGCAGCTTGCCGGGCTACGAAGTGAGGAAGCTTCGGCTTTCTTCATCAACCGTATGTCCGACCCATCTCGTCACGATCAATGAGTTCTTTACTGGCCATCTCTTAGCTTCATTTTCTTTGTTTCTTCAAAATTGGGTCTTAAAAACAGGTAGGCATCTCAATTGAAAAACACTCTAGAATCTTTCCTCCACAGAGCCCATTACTTCATTTGCAACTCTGTGACCTACGTGAACTCGCAATTTCTGGATACGAAGTCTAAAAACTCACTCATTGGCTATTTACCTAGTCCGACAATGGCTGAGAGAGTCTGGGGACTTGGAAACCGAGAAAAATGGAGAGCCTCACGACCATTCAAAACACTTCGTTAAAACGTGGGCTCCCCGAAGATTATGCTTTCGTGTAAGTAAATCTCCATTGTTTTACAGATAGCTATTGATGAAAAGCGCCTCCATATCTTCGATGTAATACAGCGTTGCCACCTCCGTCCTAAGATGTAGTGAAGGATGTCTGAACGATTGTCAATTTAGTGAAACTAATTAAAGCTCACGTTATTCACGTACCCAATAGACCAAGATGCACGATTTATGAAGCGCGGTGTCTCCGTTGTCATCTCTGGTGATAGATAGGAGGAGTAGTCTGCTGATCTTGTGTTGAATGATCAGCGAGTCGAATTGGATACGAGGTTGTTGAGATCACTACGGTGGGCGGCTGTAACGACCTCAACTTGGTATTCCTGAGGTAATCAACTTGCTTTTAGTATAGAATGAAATGACGGAGGTAACAAGAGTTTCACACCTTGGTTCATTCATTTGAGAAAATAACGGCAGGTAAGGATGAAGTTCTCATATTTTGGTTGTTGGACCTGATAGCCGGTCAAAACGGAAGTTGCGCTTCGGAGGGCAGATGGGCTAGTGTGTGTTTGCTGGTATAACAACCAGATTTCATTTGCTATATAAAATATTTCCAAGCTAACCAATCGAAAGCAACAACTGTTCAACTCACCTCAAATAGTTTCTTTTGTAATGAAGCAATTGGGTAGAACACTGAGAGAAGTCCATAATGCTTCGGCAATATCATAATCAGTCTTCGAGGATTATTCACTTCTACTTTAATCAATATAACACAGAGACACTTGAAAGATAAATCAGCAGATGATAAGCTCATAAGTGACTTGTTTGTGAATGCTTTTTGTTCATTCCGGCTATACACCGTGGTGGGTTATTGACTCCATTGTAAAATCAGGCAAACATCAGGCCGTTCTCTATGGAGAAGAGATTCATATTCATTCAAGTATTCACCAACTAAACAGGCGGGGTATCCTATCTCCGAAGTATCATTACTGGGGGTCTATGCAACCCGATGAAGTGGAAGAACATTCGCCCCTAACCATCATTCAAAGCCTTGTCATGAAAAGCAGTGTATTATCCATTACTTGCGAGTTTCCAAACCCAGACTTTATAACTAAACAATGGGTATTCAGTCAAATACCCAACCGGCGAACATACAATGTCGATCTACGGGAAGCCATCATAGGTGTCGGCCCATAGTTCGTTCAAATTCAAGCCCAAGAGTTCCATGCTGAAATCAGGATTGATTGGCTGCATCTGAGAGCAATTATTAATTCCTGTTACAATAACAGGTAGAACCGACAGGGGACTCACAGTTGGTGTTGGGTCACCATTCGGCAACCACCAAGGTGTAGAAGGCACTTCCACCTGGGTTACTGAACCCTGAGAAGCGAGAGGAGGCAAAGGCGTGACTGATTTGGCGCGTTCAAAGAAGTCTGGGACGGCAGGGCGAGTGGATGCAGCCACGCCGACATCGGACTGCTGGCTGGAGATTGGAGGTTCCTGTCCGGCAAGAAGACGATAGTGGAGGTTGATGAATCGCTCCGCGCAGCTAGACTTGGCACTTTGGGAATCCTTGAGGCCTAGATGCGTCTCAAGCAAGCCATACGCGGCACACATGATCGAGTAGCCCCATGGTTCGTTGTTGCCGCAGCGCAGGATGCGGTCTTCCTTCATAGCCAGACACTTCTCCAACAGGCTGATCGTGTGTTGCGAGTTAACCATGATCATGTTGGTCGAGCCGCGTGGCTGCAGCAAGGTTACACTGCAAAGATTAACGGCAAGTGTCAGGGCATCTTCACGCAAGAAGTTCAATGTTCTGATACCCTGTTGGGTCAATTTATCGTGCAACAGAACCATGTCTCGTGCCGCATTGTAGTACATGATCTCAGAAAACTGATAGCGCGAATTCGCCTTGCGCATTCGAAGATAAGGCTGATGTAGCGGGATGATATACTGCCTCAGCTGAATATGTAGCAGCGTGTACGCTAGAAGGGGTTTCTTGGAGCCCTCCGAGGTAGTATCTCCTGAGGTATCCCAGGAGGGCAACGAATCAATCTCCTGGGTTATACTGTCCGTGTATCGAATGACTTGTTCGTAATCGATCTCCTCCGGAGGTCCGGTCAGTAGGCGACCCAATTCGAGCCGGAGTGGCAGGCTTTGTCGAGCTAAATGCTGATACGAAGCCATAGTGTACTCGGTGATTGGCTTAGATGGCGGCAATTCGCTGCTGTCCTCATCAAAGTCCTCATCGTTAAGGTTTCGTGGCGGGTTAACGTCAAAGTGCAGGGAGCTGACAATCGTCGGGAGGCCATGGTCAAAAGCAGCTTGGAAGTCAAACTCTTGAATAGTTGCCCAGATTCTTCGTCTCATTTCCTGGTGGAAGGGTGAAATCTTAGCTTTGAGCATGTGAACCGGATCTCGATGAAGGCCAAGGGATATGCCGTCTCGAGCGAGGATACCTGATCCAGTCCAAAATCGCTTCTTCTTAACTGTGTTGACCCGTTTGGCAAGATAAAGTAGACACGAAATCTGGTAGTGGATGAGCTTTCGGTGCTTCTGGCTCTGTCGTCGGTGCCACTCTTCACACGCCTTGATCCACTTCTCAGCGGTCTGATGAGAGCAAGACACCATCCCGACAAACTTGGATGGAGACGAACCGCTGTTCATGCAGCTGGATATGGACATCATTGAAAGAACGAGAGCAGTGAGGGCAGCATATCTTGGTTTCGTCGGGTCCCAGAAGGTGGCATATTCTCTGCGGAAAGAGGGTATGTGAATGATACGGTGCAGCTGTTCAAATTGGTCAAGATAAACCGAGACTAGAGCATCAGTATCATTCTTGGACGGAAGCAGAGCCTCAAGCTCTAGGTCAGGCTCCTGATACTTCTTCTCCCGTTCGACCTTCCTCTTCGGGCGATCTTTCGGATTTTGAGCGATGTGAAGGGGTTTAAGCCATTCCTCAGCTGTTTCTCTCATGAATGGAGTCAATCCAGTGAGCTCACTGAATGCCATACAGGCATTGTGTGGCCCGAAATATCGAGTCTTGAACTCCTTGCCACGGAAGAAGCGCAGCTCGTCCTTGTCGGCACCGGCGTCATGGTACTGAAGAAATGGTGGCAGCACTGACTCCTCGGTAATCTGCTCCCTGGGTTCAAGTCGCAGGGCGGAAGGAGAGTGCTCTACGAGCGTGCTCCCATCACTCCCTGCTTGCTTCAACAGTAGGTTCTTGAGGGTAGATACCTCAAGCTCTAGTCTCCGAATGCGATCATAATCTCGCAAGGAATCCTTGCGAAGGAGCGACTCGCCGAGGCCATTTGGCAAAGACAGACGTCCGTCAAAAGATGAGAGACCTAAGCCGGTCTTTGTTGGAGGAGCAATACCAGGTCGCGTCTCGTAAGTGCAGCGATCTGGAGTGCCCGACTTCAAGCATCTCTCGCAGGGAAAGCCTCGGTCGCACGACAGCTTTCTGCGTCGACACTCCAAACATGAGAGTCGCACGCGCTGGCGCTTGCGAGGGGGCTGATCTGAATGATCTGGCTTGTCGCTGTCATGAAGAGAGTTCGGATCGGTCCTCGGTGATGAGTGCTCGTCGCCGGCACCTGTCTCGGACATACTGGGCGATGAGCTCGGTGATGACGAGCTACGTCCTATCGGCAGCGACTGTCGCGTGCTCAGGGGAAACTTCGGCTCCGTGGTCTAGTGGGCTCAGTGAACGCCAAGTCGCATGCAATTGCACTTCCCACACACACGGGGGTCGCAACACTATAAGAATTGAGTTCTTGCAACACTTGAAGCTCAATTAAGGCTCGTGAGAACGTCGTTTCTGACCCTTGAGTCATCCAGGAAGCGATGACGGCGGCTTGTTTACGAAAGGGCTTTTTCTCGGAGCTCCGAGCGACGTCGGATTACGACTTTTGCGATGCGGAGTTATTTTAGATCTGATAATTTTTTCAAGTACTTGCCGAGACGCGACGTTAACAGGTACATGCTCTGCGATTTCTGCAAGGATCGCTAGAGGGATGCGACTCTGGCAAGCCACAACCGCGGACACACCGCGGGATTACGCGGCCTGACTCCTAGGCACTCATCACAGATAATGTGTCAGCAAAGACGTCACTTGCTCCTTCAACTCCTTGAAATGTGAGTCCTTTTTAGGCGTTCAGATATGGACTCGATGAACCAGCCGAATTTAGGCCAAAGACTCATTCATGACCGAGTAAAGAAATGGGAGCTTGATCAGCAAGATCGATAGCGAAGATAGCGTGATGATCCCCTACACATTCACGAATAATTTTCATGCGTTTCTGAGATTTTGCTCAAGTACTGATTATCTTGCCAAGAAGATCAGTACTTATGCGCCCTTGGCGTGGCCCGGAACAGCCGAGCTTACAAATGGCCCGCTAATCTTGAGAGGACCAGATCTACGTACCGCACCCTGTTTCGGTCAGCGCTCAATCCTTCGCCACGTTATTATCTGACGCACCTGCACCTGTCAATTGATGCAAGACATCGCGACATGTGAGCTAACAGTGACTTACACTATACGTATGAGAATAGTCAACCTTATTTCTGACACTCAAGATTATTAGGACCGATCTGAATATCTTGTCAATGTGCGGGGGTTCTTGACTTAGCAGTCCCCGATTACAGTCTCAGCGTCTGACGTTCTTTACTATATCACATCTACAGCCGCCGGAGTTTTCAACAGTCTTCAGTAACGAGTCTATTATGCTGTGATGCCATAAAATTGACGATGCTTGCCATACAAGCGCCTGACTTTCTACTCTAAGCACGAGTTTGTGTCAATTCTCTCGGCTTTGTTTGATATACTCTTTCTTTGCCACTCTTGCACATAAGTCGCTCAGGGTTTCCGCGGCCCATTCATAATCCTTCAACTCTATATATACCTGCGCGCTTATTCTCGCCCATAGTCGATTGTCCTGCAGATACATGGCTATGAATGTTTGATACTCCTCGACCATTGTCTCTAGCATCCATTGGAACGCTTGGTTGATCTCTGGCGTTGGAATAACCGTGCCTCCCTCTTGCATAGCTTGCTGGGTAGGGCTTGTCCACAGCGGCAGGGCCACATTGCCCATAGCGCAATTAGTCATGGTACCTTGCGCATTATCCAGCACATGAGTCCCTAGCTTCGACGCAATCAGACTGCTGCCCTTCTTGTTCAGGTCCCAGAGGTATGCTAAGATACGGTCTTCACCACCGAAAGTGGTCTTCCGCCATTTTATGGCGTCAGCCACACAGAGATAAGGCGCATTATCTAATGTTCCGACGTATTCGAAGTTGTTGACAAAGTGGCTTTTACTATTTGGTGGCAGTGGGGAGATTCGTTGATGAAGTTTTGGCTGGTAGCCGTGACTGGTAGGGACAGTCGATGGTAATAAATGCTGATTTCGAATCGGCACATAGAAGATTGCACATGCTCTAGGCACGTGTAGCCATTTGTGACAATTTGAGACGAAGAAATCCGGATCAGCGGCCGAAAGATCCAGAGGGACCATCCCGATTCCTTGTGCACCGTCCACCACACTGAGTACCCCAAGCTCTCGGCAAGCTTGGACCATATCATGCCAGGGGAATGGCACCCCTGGTCTGGACGAGACGACGTCAAACATGCATGCTTTGACTCTTTTTCCTCTATGCTCGATCTCTCGGACCGTGTCTCGAAACTTGTCAATGATGTCCTTGTCTTCAATGGGATATGCAAGCTCAATCTCTTCACTCGTCACAAGGCCATCATTGTAGTCTACGACACAATCCACAGTCTTGCCACAAGCCTCGTAGACTGTGGAGAACGTCAAGACGACGTCTTTTCCGTCGTCGCTCCATTTGAGATTACGAAAAACTGTATTCACACCAACGGTAGCATTTTGGACGAAAACAATTGTTTCTAAGGGCGCATTGACGAGTTCCGCGGCGACTTGCCGACCTTCATCCAGAAGACGAGGATACTCGTACCGAATGAACTTATCGGGACGAGCTTCACAGGCGTCTTGATAGAACCGAAGTCGATCTCGAATCACTTTGGGTATGCTGCCAAAAGACCCTATGATTTCTTCGGTCAGTAACCTTATCAAATTCGAGGTAATTGCAAACTTGCCATGATTCAGGTTCGTCCACTTGGGATCAAACAGAAATTGCTTTTTTACTTCTCGGCCGAAAGAATAGGTAGGGGCCTCCGCAACGGGCATATCAGAAGACAAATTCGAGCCCATGATGCCCCTATTGAACCGGCAGCTGAGACACGTAACTATATTCAAATGGTCCGCGAGATGTGGTGAAGTGGGTGGTTTAATTATGGATAAGGTTAGCGCCGTTCATCGGCCGGTCAGTACGAGGAGTAGCGGGATGTAGCAATTATCCGGCCGGCTTCTAGCCAAGCTCGAGTGGCCGACCATCGGCCGAACAATACGCATTTGAGCATCAAAACCTATCTTGCCGGAAGGACCCATCTCAGCGCGCCTTCTACATCACACCGTATGCACAACACTTATCAAAAGGCAAAAACAATTCAAATGGATGGAGGGAGTGGTTCTTCTTGCGATATAGAGTCTAGGACAAGTGGTAGTAATGTCACTTGGCGGACACTTGCGACGCTTGCTATGGGGAACTCAGACGCTCCCATTATAACAAATGATATTTGGCACACACAAGAGCAAAAGAGATGACGTTGTGATTATAGACTCCCCTCGTCCTCAGAACGAGCAATCTTGACTGCTCTCGTCACCATTATACCATTAGAACCGTCCGGGTACACCAGGCCTTCTTGACTGCTGTTCGGTTCAGCTCGGCTCACTGATGCATGTGGATAGGCCTTGAGGTCGATATCTTTGTCAATGGTCCGGCCATTGCTTTTGCTGCGGCTACGAGGAGTCTTCGAGCTGACCTCGTTCCCATAATATTGCGCGCGATTGGTATGCATCTTGATGATGCGATAAAGGCCGGGTCCACTGGCAATGATGACGGCTTTGATGATATCATGTTAGCTCTAGACCATCACCAAGGGACGCTTTCGAACGGCCGTTAGCTGGAAGACCTACCGATAGCAGACTCAATTGTACCCCAAAGTGCCAGCCATGGTACTGTCGGCTGGCTGGAACCGTTGCTAATCTGAGTGACACGTATCGTAGAGGCGATGATGCACACAAATCCAAGGCAGAACAGTGCAGCAACGCTGACTTTTCTCGAAGTTGGCATCTGTAAGCCAATAATGAGACGGAGCGGTAGAGCCATGACTGTACTTGAGTCAGTAGATAACAGTGTCCATCAGATGACATTGACCTACTCAGTAAATCAGTCAAGACATCAACCGCATAAGCGTACCACATGCTGATTGCGGCATGTACGATGTCCCGTTGCGTGTAGCAGAGTCCGACTGAAAACCAGGCATGCATACTCGAGCAAGCTAAGAATAAAGTAACCATGCATCCGACGAGAGCCTAAATCAAATGAATTAGCTCACGAATGTCGACCACTTCTTTGTAATAGGAGGAAGTCCACTGAATCAGCCGTCTTTAACTTACCAAAGCGCTGAATATGACCAATGCCCACCAAAGCTTAATATACAACGGCAGCTTGTCCATCAACTTCTTGTACACGCACAAGAGTGAGAACTTCGCCGACCAAAGACAGAACCACAGACATGACGAGGCCGCAAAAAGACCTTTCTGGATGAAAAGAGCATCGTCGTTCGCCGTTGGGTATGGCTCGATCACGCCAGCAGAAAGATCTGTCAGACGATAGAACGCAGGCACAATGTAAAGATACAGAACGGCGATAGTGATGAAAAAGAGATAGCAAAGCACGAGCCACAAGTCTTCTACTTGCAACTGCCTCCACTGACTGTATCCACCTCCAATGCGGGCAAGTATCGAGATTGTTGTCAAAATGATCAGTGCAATCGCCGTGCTTCGGATCGATGACCGAGAGATGTCAGCCATCTTCATTTGCTCGATGGCGATCGTCAAAAAGCAACCATGTAAAAGGAAATCATTCAACCTCTCCTGAGCAGAGAGGGCCTTCCTATTTACATGGGGAAGAAGAGGTACATCAGCGCCGCCTACGTCTAGACTGTCTCCAATTCTCTCCAGGCGCGAACAGTGTCCCTTAGCGTTGCCTTCGAGAACCGGCGACCGAGTCTAGGATTTGCAACCTTTGGAGCTTGGCAACCAGAATTTCAGCTCTAACCATCAAGAGTGACCCTGGTAAAGTACCTGCAGAGTACGTCTTAAGCTCGTGCATATGGTGGGTATTGGATTCAGGGGTTAGTCTCACTACTGATCTTCCCATTCCTAGAGTCCCAATTGAATACTGGCGTTAAGAGTCTTACAAGCAGACCTCAAGTAATGAAGACTTCTTCACAGTCATGATGAGGGTCTGCTTTAACAAAAGTTCATGTTCGTTGACCAGCGCCACAGCCGTTCAACTGGGTCTCGTCTCCCGCAAGATGGCATGACTCGCACCACATGCACGGCCAGTTCGGTCTCACACTCAAGATACACAGAACAGCCCTAGTGTACAGTGGCGTTGTGAATAATCTTTAGCTTCCGGCACAAGCAGGCCGTTTCTTGCCGGAAGTTGCATCGGAAATGAAGTCCTTTCGGCGACCGGCTCGATTAGGCTCGTTGGACGTATTCCGACTGGCTTGGCTGCTTTTAACATCGCAGCCCAACCTGGAAACTACCCCTAAGCTTAACGTTAATTGTTCAACCGTGCACCGGTAGTTTGATATGCCCCCATCTTGGTATGGGCTGTTGTTATATCTGTTTTGGAGTGTTTGAGAGGCAATAAGCTTCACTAACACTGGTGCTGAGGAGACATCATGGCGCAATAGCAGTTGAGTACCTTCACTGACAGATACACTGGCAGCTTCTGGGTCACTTCTACTAAGCTTCGTGACAATTTACTTGCGGGCTCTTTGTTTGCGAATGTTGTCTCTGGGGGACATGCTGTGACACGTTCAAATGGCTCATGCTATCCGTCGAAGGTGGCTCATTCCACATCGCTACCGCCTACTTGGTTTAGCTGGGGCTTGACCCGCAGCTCGATGAAAGTTACAGTGACTGGCATTATCTTGGGGACGTTGCAGAACGACCTGGAGAAAGTACAACTTGTGTACTTTTGCTAGGTTCGAAGATATGGGCCTGCTGAGACAACTGCCAAGACCGCCAAGTAGGCCGACGAAGTCAAGATGCACGCTAAACAAAGAATTCAAGCACTATATGCGGCACGGCAGCAATTTGTGTAAGGAACTGGGACAGTTCCATGGCCGAACATCTGCCAAGTCTTCCTTCGGTGTTCTTGTTGTCTTGCTCGTATCATGACCCTGTCACGACGACTTTGCACGCTTGTTTTCACTGTAACCAACAAGCTCGGTTCGACAAGCTAAGGTGGGGGTCTCCATAATTGTACTTGCGTAGTTTAAATGCCTGGACAACCCTGGGATTCGTCTTTTTCTCGGAACCTGGAGGAAGCAAGGTTGTAGTCCACTTGAGTAGACTTTTGCATTCGTGACAGCCGACCCTTTACATGCTGCGGAAAGGGTTTCCCCCAATCTTAAGACAGCGTCGGCATCATGGAAGACACAAGAAGGATGACTTGGCATTTCGTGCAAGGACATCTCTTGTCTTATGTGAAAGATAATTAGTGGGTTATGATCTACGAAGCTAGAATCGTATAAACATGAATATCACTTCCTCTTCCAGACTGAAAAGGGGGGAATTGGGGAATATGACCTGAATGTACTGGATGCCCGTATTCACTAGGACTACACGTAGATAGTACTCAGTACTTCTGACGGCTCTGATCATCCTAAGGGTCCTGCAGGGGTTGGTCAACATGACCCTGTTGGGGGGGGGGGGGGCTGGTATAGGCCTAAAATCTGGAACTCGTCCATACCATGTGTGGCATAGACGCCCAGCTACTGCTTGCAACTGAAATGGAAGAGAGCTCGAGAAGGCGCGACCAGGCTACACGGGTCTAATCAATAGCATCACGCACTATCTGTTTGTCTTATTTCCTGGGCCATTTCCTACACTGGGCTTGGATAAGTGCGACCTTATGCGCCAAGTCTGTCCGTCTAGCAGTACACGGATGAGTAATTCAAATAAAACATCGACGATGCCGTGATCACCCACCACTCTAGATTCCCTACGGACACAAGGGATCTGCAGACGGCAATTCTTATTGCTGATCTCTTCCAACCGTTCATTGTCACTCTTTAGCCTTTTCCTTCTTTACACCCCCCTCTCCGGCTCTCTGGTTCGAAGATGAGTCTGTTACGGCTTGTTATAGGCTTGGCGCTGGGCCTCGCTGTTGCAGCTGTTGCCGCTCCGACTGGTGCGTTTGAGTCGAGCGACTTTAATGTCACGGAGGCCCTCCTTGATCAGGGCATCGACATCTCTGAAATACCTGCTCTGGCGGACTTCAACGAGACGGCAGCTGTTGAGAGACGGTCCACAGGCTCATCCTGCTCCATCGCTGTAAGTTGTCGCATTGCCGTAAGTCCCTTGTTTGTGCGTGTTGAAAACTAGATCAAGCTCTGACATGAATTATCGCTAGTGCTCTTCCCTGAAGTTCATCTATGGTAGCAAGGCCGTCTATTCACGAGGCGAATCAACATATGAGAACTTCACCGACTCCTACTGGTCGGACAACCAAGCTCAGGTCGATCCTTTCTGTGTCTTCAAGCCTTCCAAAGGGGCTGATGTATCTGTTGCCATCTTGGTTGCCCGACTGACACAATGTCCTTTCGCTGCTAAGAGTGGTGGTCATGCGGCTATGGCTGGCGCTTCTAGCATTGAAGGTGGCATCACCATTTCTTTTGCCAACATGAAGGATGTCACTTTGTCGAAGGACAAGAGCGTTGCATCGATCGGTCCGGGTAACATCTGGGGCGAGGTTTTCGCAACTCTCACCAAGTCCGACCTGAGTGTTGTCGGTGGCCGCCTGTATAATATTGGAGTTGGTGGCCTTACCACTGGTGGTAAGTTTGCGCTCCTTTAGGTGTCTCAGATGATCACAAATAACAATTTGACAGGTGGTATCTCTTACTTCTCTAACCTCTATGGATGGGCATGCGATAACGTTGATAGTTATGATGTATGTGACAAGATCATACGTATCTGAAGTAGGCGCTAACCTGACATCAGGTTGTAACTGCAAGTGGTGTCATTGTCAGAGCCAGTGCCACTCAATATCCGGATCTTTTCTGGGCCCTCCGCGGAGGCGGCAACAACTTTGGCCTTGTCGTCAGCTTTAATCTCAAGACGATCTCCCTTCCTGGAGGTAAACTCTGGGGTGGTTCAAGAATGTATTTCGAGGACTCATTCCTTGCCGTGGAGAATGCATTCGTCAACATCATTGCGAACTCAGCCCAAGATCCACAAGCTGGTCTCTATGTTGTCTATGTTTACAGCGGAGGCGCCAAGCTTGTTCTGCCGGCGTTATACCACAAGGATCCCAACGGTGGCGCATCTAGCATCTGGGCTGACTTTGATGCCATCCCGGCTATCACTGATTCCACGAAAACTCGTGTTCTGGCAGAATGGGGCGCAGAGACAATGAATGACAGCCCTCCAGGTCTGCGCGAGGTCTACTACGTTCTAACCATTAAGGCCGACTCTGAGATACTTACATATGCTCGCGAGTATTTCTTTGAGACAGTCACCACTGTCGCTGACATCCCTGGCATTGTGCCAAACATTGTAGTCCAGGGTATCACTGTTCCTCAAATGCAGCAGATGCAGAAGAGCGGTGGTAATGCCCTTGGCCTGGATCCCAATGATGGACCCTTGTACATCATTCAGCTGTGCGGCATGTGGACCAATGCCTCAGATGATGACAAGGTGTACGCTTGGATGTCTGACATTCTGAACAAGGTCAAGGCTGCGGCTAAGGCCAAGGGGGTGGACAATGACTACGTCTATATGAACTACGCAAGCCAATTTCAAGACGTCGTCAGCAGCTACGGTGCCACCAATAAAGCCAAGCTCAAGAGCATATCCAACAAATATGACCCAGCCCAGGTCTTCCAGAAGCTGCAGCCGGGTTATTTCAAGCTTGATCATGCTCCCATTAGCGGTTCTGGATACTTCAACATATAAAAGACAACTCATTAAACATGCCTTGTATTGTAAGATTAGCTGAGAAAGCAAGGATAGCAATTCATAGGTTGGTCATAAACTTGACTTGATTATCAGAGCCAAGTGATAACCACTAGTTTCTTCTTTCAACCTGTTTTTTCGTCGGGGCTGGTTCTATTTCTGACTCTTTGTAACTGTGGGCCGAGGAAAACAACAAGTGTTGTCAAGCCAAGAGCCCAATCCTTCGACAGGGGTTTAGAAATCTGCCTCATAAAAGACTCTACAAGATATAAGTCGTTGGATCAGCTTGCAGGCATTATCAATGGCAAGGCACCACCAGTCTCCGATTTGGAGTGTTCACCAGAGTGAGAATTTTCTAATCAAGCCTTCACTATCATGTAGCGGAGCACACTACCAGCGAGAGAAGATTGAATCGCGAGTCGGAGCAAGTGAACCTCAAGTAAGACGAACAGCAAACTCGCAAATTGTACAACAAAATCAATATTCATTACACCGCACCACCAGCGCAAGATACACCGCCCACTCTCCCGCTCTAGAGACACCTCCTTGTTAACAATTTTTGTCCGAGATGGCGTCTTGAGTCATGCCTTGAAGCTTGTGATATCAAGGAGCGACTTACCCCAGTGCATCCTGCACCACACATAGCTACTACTCCACTGCCACATCCTCCGGAGCCTCCGCAGGTGCCTGCAGCACATTGCCCTGGCTGATTGTGTTGCCCATTCACTGAAGCTGGGGGCGCAGCATACATGTCTAGGGTAGCCTCAGCAGCAACTTGTGAAGCCCATGGTCCAGCAAGAGTGATTAGCTTTCCCCAGTGATCAACATTATCGGAGCCTCGAGGACCTATCAGCAGCTTTCCGTCGTCCGAAGCAGTCTTTCTGAACGAGTCTCTGTTAGCCTTCTTCAATACTTTAGCGTACGACTCTTCAAGACCATTTCTGAAAAGTCCAACTTTAACACGCCTTGGCGAGTTTGTTTCATTTATTGTGCGTACGGCAGGGTGGTTCGAGATATGAGGCGACTCCTTAGCGGGTGGTTGCGGTGCTATGGCTGCGTTCCCGGAAGCGCGCCACGATTCGATGACTGTGACCTGGATGTTAGATTGTTTCTGTGAGTTACTTAACCTAACAAACCTTTCTGAGCTCTTGAAATCGGCTTCGACCCGAAAAACTTGGTGACGGAGGGTATGTTCTGGAAGCGAACAGCTGGCAAACAAATGTCAGCGTCTGATCAATTCCGAGCCTGCATTTCGCGTCTTATACTTTCGCAATACCAGCAAGTACATTCCGAGTAGACCTCGCCATACTTCTCCATGTATACTTTACTTGTCCACTGGAAGGAGACACCCAGTTTATCCTCGTCGACCTTGTCGTTATGATCCACAAAGTATTTCGTCTTGCTGACTGAATGTTCAAAATAGCTTTGCGGGCTTAGTTGGTGTGTGTGCCAGGCGAGGTCAATGTCCACGGTTGGAACTACTGTCTCACCCGGATGAGATGATATGATAGCAAAATATCGATCGTATCTCATAAGGAGCCTTTCCATTATAGCTCTTGCGGATGGATTATGCAGCCAGCCGATCTGTTCAATACTGTCAGTATCTCTTTTCCATCATACCAACGCTTTACTGGTCATATACCTTGTGCATCTTGTTGACAAACACACCCTGTCTCATCACGGCTCCAGATAGATCGAGGGCGAAAGGGAAGTGGTTCTGCCAATACCTTGACATCATACGTCTGACATGAGTTCGCGATGAGAGGGAGACTTGATGGATAGTAAGGGATGAGAAGCCCTTAGGATCTTTGTCAACCGCCTTGAGCTGCTTCGAGTCTGTCCGCCTGTAGCCTTTTGGACCTGTCACTGACTCTATGAGCTCCTTTACTGCCATCATGCTCTTTTCTCCTGAGCCACCTGGTTTCAACAGGTCCACAACCTCTACCAAAATACCTTTGCGTATTAGTCGATTGGGAAACAGCTGGTCGCCATCTGCGTTTTGCTTTTCTATAAGCCCAGTCTGCGAGTGTATAACCGTGCCTGGCATTGGCCAGTCGTTATTGATGAGATTCCTGACATCCCGCTGGAACTTGGCAAGCCGGAGAACATCGTGATTGATGGTGATGTTACAAATTGTGCACTGCCAATTCAGTCTGCCATCGCCGAAGCCTTCACCAACGATGCCCGGCCGTCTAACACCCTTGCTATCCTCAGCCTGGCCGCTTGTTGTCCATGGTATTTCGTGAGAATAAGTACAAGCGGGGCATTTGGTGACCTTGACCATGGCATCATTCTCATTCGCCCATGCCTTGCCAGTCTTCTGAGTCCAGTTCGCGACAGTAGCTTCCGATATCGTATATTCAAAGCGATCATTGATCGCATGATTAACAATAAGCCATGGCAGACCAGCAGCCCACAGCGAGCCGTGACCAAATCGTAGACAGTCCTCTAGGTAATTCCGCGGATTGAGCATGTGAGTGTGCCATACGAGCAAAACATCGAGCGGCGGTAGCATATCTTCCTTCCATATCATTGGCTGACTCTGGGTGAAATTCACATATTTCTCCTTGCCATCGATCATAGCAGCCTCTGTTAGCATGTTCGGGACGAAACTGTTCCACCATGCTTCATAGCGATCAACAGCCCGAGCCACATAGACTACCCAACGCTTCTCCCTCAGAAGTGCAAGGACATCTTTGGGATCACGCTCAGCGTCTTGGCTAGCATTGTATGCCCGAGAATCCCAAATGTCCCAGAGCCCATTTCTCATGCCAATACGTGTTTTGAGTTCCTCGAATGCATAGAGTAATTTGAGATGTGCAAGACATATATCAACCTGAGGGGCGGACGGTGATTCAGGTAACGTCAGGTCTGAAAAAGCAGGTGTAGTTGCTATATCTGATACTTCATTCAGCACCGACTCTTCAAGAGCTCTGTACGCAGGTGGAGTGGACATGTTCGCGCCAACATTGAATTCATTTTCCACCGAATTAGTCATAATAGCGCGTTCAGATTAGAACGAGAAAGCGGGGTCTCCAAAAATTCACCATAGAACGCGATTGCTCTTTTAACATATTAGAATTATCATGCAAAGCGTCTATTACGTGTCTTTAAAAAGGTACTGATCCATCTTAAGCGGCACACGACGCGTCACTCGACGCCCGAGATATTAGAGCTGCTCGGACCGGGGCTCGCACTAAGCCGGGGCTCATGAGCAATGATCCGTCGGCCGTTGAGCGACCACCGTCAGTTTCTGCGCCTATGTGGCACAATTCCGTAACAACTAGGAGGCTCAACGTCTTGGTTGTGGCTGCAATTGGCGGGGAAAATGGGGGAGTTCGGCGCGCCGTTCCGGCGAGCATCTGGCACCGCCCTCGCTCTGTGTATGCTAGGTTTTCGTGGTGGCTGAGCATTCACTAGGGATCTAGACGAAGTAACACTGTCTTGAAGTAAGTTTGTCCACTTGTATTCGAGCGTTATGACCGGGACTATGCTGAAAAAGAAGTTTAGTTAGGACTTTTCAAGTATCTTTTCCCTTTTTTCCTTTCCCCTGGTAGCACTGCATGTATCCGAACATCTTAGCGCAAGTAGTGTGAAATTTAGCTATCCACCGAATGAGAGTATGGTGACGAAACAAGATAGAATCATGGAAGACCTCAAGGAGGCGTCCAACAGCATAATGTCTTAAACCACATGTCTATTGAGACCCGGAATGACTCAATGCAGAAGAATCGGCAATACTAGCCACAAACTGAAACGATCACAAATGAATTGAAGTTGCGGTCTAGTGAGTTCTGTGGAGTTACAAAACAGAGTCCGAATAGCTGTTCATTTCGGTCGTTCATATTACTAATTGCTCCGACATGTCTGCCATGAGATCTTGTGGTAGGCAAGAGTATTAAAACCTCCTCAAGGAGAGATCATTACAGGTACAAAAGACGGTAGATTTGGGGTAATAAACAGAATCTTCGAAGCTTCAACGGGTATCGTGAGTACCTAACGTTTATTACCGTTTTGGAGGTTGGAGGTACCTAGGTAGGGCAGCACTGCAAATCGTGGGGATAAACTGCGGGGCCAGCACACCAAGATGGGGGGAAAGTGCGCTAAGTGCGGCCACGAGCAAGGACCCGAGATGCTGAAGCGCGGAAGCTGAAGTGCCTCGCGTCTATGTAAAGTTGGGCATCCCTGTCGTCACAGCATGTCTCAGATTCCTTATCGCGCAGAGTTGTCCGTTTCGTGTCTTCAACTTCGCGTAATGTCTTGCATCATGTGGCACGACAACAGCAACGAAGAGTTCCGACAATACGAAGGACAGAAATTGACGATGCCATGACTAATCTCTTTCTTATCATTCTGCTGGGCGTCGCTAGCTGCGCGACTGCGTTGAGCATCGTTCAGGGCGGCCGGTCGTTCGATCGCTTCATCACTATCTGGCTAGAGAACCAAGACTTCGACAGAGTCACCGCCGATTCACACTTTGCCGACCTGAAGCGCGAGGGCATCGAACTGACACGATACTATGCCCAAACACACCCGAGTCAGCCCAACTATCTGGCTGCGATTGGCGGGGACTACTTTGGGCTAAATCACGACGGCTTTGTGCGCGTGCCGGAGAACGTCTCGACTGTGGTGGATCTACTCGACTGGAAGGATATCAGCTGGGCCGGCTACTTTGAAGATTTGCCAGGGCCGGGATATATGGCTGAGGGCTCTGATGGCTCCACAGGCAATGGAGGATGGGATTACGTTAGGAAGCACAAGTATGTGCAAAAAGCCTCCTTTGTTTTGCCTTATTGCTGACCAGGACATCTGCCAGTCCCTTCGTCTCCTACGATAGTGTTAACATGAACGGGTCCCGGTTGCTTAATATCTTATCTTTCAATGCGTTCGAGCGAAATGTCGCCAGCGGAGAGGTCCCTCAATTCGTATTCATGTCACCGAACATGATGAACGATGGGCATAATACGACACTTCCCTTTGCAACGAGCTGGGCACATCATTTCATCGAGCCGCTTCTGGCCAAGGACGCATTCAAGGAGCGGACGCTCATTCTACTTACATACGACGAATCTGACACGTATGAACGTCCGAACCACATCGGATCACTGCTGCTCGGAAGCGCTATCCCAGCGCGACTGAAAGGCACCAAAGACAACACCTTCTATACCCACTACAGCATCTTGAGCACACTGGAATATAACTGGGAGTTGCCGAACCTGGGGCGCTACGATGTTGGGGCGAATGTGTTCAAAATGGTTGTGGACCAGGTTAAGGATAACCACAACAAAGACCCGGGCAATGTGGACAGTGTCGACAATTCAGTATCTTATCCTGGTGTCCTGAACAACCAGACTGACAGGATGTTGCCGATTCCACCACCAAACTTGAAGTTGGTCGGCGCCAGTGGGTTGCCGGTATTGGACGCCATCCAGGAGATATGGGCCAGCGAAGCCACGTCTCAAAGCCCATATGATGGGAGTGGGAACGTGTTCGACGGAGACAAGAATCTTCCCGCGTACAAAGATCAAGCTCCCAATACCTCTTGAGCTGTAAGCTTGAGCACTTACCAAACAGAAAAGCATACGCCATTACAATGACAAGCATCTTGACCAAGAGTATTGACTGAATACCCGGGGTTACAGGCGATAGCTGACGGGCAAGCCACCAGGATTATCTAATTCTGCAACGGATAGGAAATGGTGGATTGTTTGTCTGAGCCCTCCAACTGGCGATCAAGGCCACCTCGCCCGCCCGCCTTTGTACCTGTGTACAGGAATCGCGCTGTACAATTGGGGTCATGTAGTGAAACGAACGGGTACAGGCGGGCTGCATCCACAATCTGATCAGGTAGTGATAAACGACTGCTTGCTCAATAACAGAAAAATTGGATCCATATTAACCATCCTTCGTACTACTAAATACTCCGTTCAGTCACCCCTCTCTTCACTTATACGTGGTTGAAGGCGGCTAACTCCCGCATCCCGGGTACTGGGCTGCTTCCCTTGCGCACCGGTACGACTTTCGGATCAATGTGTGATCTTACCCATCAGGATAAAGTTTTCTGAGAGAGTATACTGCGATATGTTATGCCCTGCGACCTCACTCATGCAAATTGTTCTCCTTTTAGGTGGTGATAGGCTGGTCTTGGTCTCACTGCGTCTGAGTCTCCGCAACATCACAAGCACCGAACTTGACTTTGCGTCACAAGCCTTTCATTGACTCACCTGCTTGGTTTTCTTTCCCCTAAAAAGTAGTTTGCCATGCGTTGCTAAATTTCAAACTATCTTGCCACAACGATCATTATCTATTTTCAGACTTAATGAGACATGCGGAGGAGAATGGTCGCCCTACAACATCCCTCAAACAACCAATGATGAGCGGCGTTACAAGAAAACCAAGGATTGTTGGGTTATTGTCTTGTGCCAACCGAAGAGTTGCTGCAAGGGACAATGACAATACGATGCACATGCACGCTACTTCAGTCGCGTAATGACATGCAGCGAGTGTCGGCAAGGATTGTATCGACTCCTCCTGATTTATCTCTCAATACAGCATTGCTCAGTCATCCATTCTCCTTTTCAGGTCCTATGTTACCCTCTAGGTGTCATATGTGCCGTTATCTGTGCAACGAGGATGTGTCTTCTGTCCAGCAGCACAAACAACGTCAGAATATCCCGAAGAACACAAACCATCAATCACACCGGGACACAATAATTCTTTGTAGAAATAACGACTGTGCAGGATCGTCTGAGAGAGGCCACTACTATTGGAGCCATGCAGTATTTCAAGGTTTGCCCACTACGCCACCATCGCTTTGATCTTCAAGGCAACGATAGTTACGCACTTGCTATAGAAGACCCATATCGCCCTGTCACCCCATATTTTACTAGTGCATCTTGTTGATGGTCTATCTAACTACCAGCCACTTCTAGTCGCATACCGCCATACGAAAGTTGTGAACTCGAAAAACCAGGGATGAGGGTCAAGTCGCCTCTAATCGCTCTCTTGTACTTTTCTCTCTTTCGAAAAGGCATGAGTGATGCCATCTCCCAGCTTCCATCATGCGGAGTGAGATATACATTACCACATTTAAAATAGAGGCTAACGAGATATAGCTGAAGTGTATTGGCAACACTGTTCCCCATTCCCCGTGCAAAAGCCTGACAAACACTACCTGCATTTGCATCAACAAGCCCCTTCGCCACCTCATCGAAACTTGTATCTTCTCCTCTTGTAACAAGACAGATGCATTGGGTAAGTCGATAATCGGAAGATATTACAGCTCTAGGTTTTTTTT